CTGGGGAAGCCCGTGCAGGGCGGGGCCTTGAGCCAGGTGAGCAGCTGGAGCAGAAACAGAAAGTGACACACACTCAGGCTCACCTACAGGAGGTGAGGTAAGAAGAGGAATCTCAGGATAAGGGCAGCCTCAGCCCCACAAAGAGGGGTTGCCTTTCTGCAGGACACCCCCGTGCAGGGAGAGGAGGAAAGCAGTATGGGAGAGTCAGCAACATAAAGCAGCCCAGAATTAAGAGAAGAGGTCAGCTCTTCCCCTCCTTCCCCTACCAGGGACTGTGAAAGAAGGAGAGGAAAGGAGCTTGACAAACAAACATCTTTAATTGTCCAGACACAGAGCCCAGGGATAATATGGGAGAGTCAGCAACATAAAGCAGCCCAGAATTAAGAGAAGAGGTCAGCTCTTCCCTCCCTTCCCCTACCAGGGACTGTGAAAGAAGGAGAGGAAAGGAGCTTGACAAACAAACATCTTTAATTGTCCAGACACAGAGGGACCCAGGGATAGGAGTCTCTGCTAGGAAATCCCTGGTGTAGCCAAGGGCTTCAAGGGATCCTGTCAGTGTGACAAATGCCTTCATTCATTCATCAAGTATTACCCAGCCCCTACTTTGTTTCAGGCACTGCTCAAGGTGCCAGGAACAGAGCATTTAAAAGACATCCCATAAAACAAAACCTGTTGGAGCTTTTTAAAAAAAAACAACCACTTTACTGTATTGATCTTTAGAGAGGGAGAGAGAGAGAGAGAGAGAGAGAGAGAGAGAGAGACACCAATGTGAGAGTGAAACATGTATATGAGAGTGAACCATTGATCGGTGGTTTTCTGCACGTATCCCCACTGGGAACAGAACCCAAAACCTGGGCATATGGTCTGACCAGGAATTGAGTTGGTGACCTTTCACAGGGGAGGACACTCCAACCCTGAGTCACACAGCAAGGGCTCATGGACCTTTTTAGTAGAGGAGAGTAGGGGAGGGGGTAAGCACTCAGTGTATATTACATTAGGTAACAGAAAATGAAAGCACAAAAGTGAGGTGACAGCCAAGTGTAGGAGGGGGCTGCACTGAACGAGGCCAGAAAAATCACATTTGAGCAAAAACATAAAGTGAGAAGTGAGGGAGTGAGCTATGTGAAGATCTGAAAGGAAAAAAAGACACCCCCTACTCCTGATCTGGGAGTACTTTATTCTTCACCCCATCACAAAGTCTTCGCCACAATGTAGTATTGAACCCATGATAACATCTGGGGCACAGTGTAGTTTGCCTACATCTATATATACTAGAGGCCTGGTGCATGAATTTGTGCATGAGTGGGGTCCAGCCATCTGGCCCCAATCTGGGTGGTGGGGGCTAAATTGGGTCAGGGCTGGCCGGGGGAGGTGGGGCTGAAGGCAGTTGGCCAGCCCTGCCCCCTGGTCGAACTCCCAGTGGAACTCTCAGTCTAGGGGAGGATTTGCATATTAGGCTTTTATTATCTATCTATATATATAAAGAGCCAGGGGCCATAGCAACCGATCAGATGACCAAACAGGCTGTGTGGGGCAACCAGGCAAGAGGGGGCAGTAGTGAGGGGCGACCACGCCGGCAGGGGGGGCAGTCAGGCCAGCAGGGGGGGCAGTAAGGGGCAACCATGCTGGCAGAAGGGAGGCTGTTGGGGTGACCAGGCTGTCGGGAGGGGCAGTTGGGGGCGACTAAGTTGGCGTGGGGGGACAGATGAGGGCGACCAGGCCGACAGGCAGAGGTAGTTAAGGGTGATCAGGCTGGCAGGGGGGCCAGTTAGGGGCGATCAGGCAGGCAGGCACGTGAGCAGTTAGGAGCCAGCAGTCCCAGATTGTGAGAGGAATATCCAACTGCTGGCCGTTGGACATCCCCCGAGGGGTCCTGGATTGGGGAAGGTTCAGGCTGGGCTGAGGGGACCCACCACTGTGCACGAATTTCATGCACCAGGCCTCTAGTATAAGATAAAAGCCTAAACGAACTTTATGACCGAAGGACCAGAATGATCAAAACGACTGGTTGACCAGTTGCTATGATGCATACTAACCACCAGGGGACAGATGCTCAACGCAGGAACTGTCCCCTGGTGGTCAGTACACTCCCACAGCCAACCTCCCAGGGCTGGCCAACCTCCCATGGTCCCTCCCCCTGTTCCTCCCCCTAGCCAGCAGGCCCCTATTGCGGGACTGGGCGAGACGTTCCTGATCAGCCGTGATTGATGGCCAGGCCTAGGGATCCCACTGTGCATGAATTCATGCACTGGGCCTCTAGTTTTAAACATAAGAAACATTGATAGAGTGAATGAGAAGCTTAGTGTTGTGACATATTTTAAAAATAGTCTCCGGCCCGGCCTGTGTAGCTCAGTGGTTGATGTCCACCTATTAACCAGGAGGTCAGGGTTGGATCCCTGATCAGGGCACATACCCAGATTGTGTGCTCAGTCCCCAGCAGGGGGTGTGCAGGAGGCAGCTGGTCAATGATTCTCTTTCACCACTGATGCTTCTATCTCTCTCCCTCTCCCTTCCTCTCTCTCAAATCAATTAAAATATTTTATTTTTATATACTAGTATATTTGTATTGATTTCAGAGAAAGAAATAGAGCTAGAAACATCAATGAGAGAGAATCATTGATTGGCTTCCTCCTGCACTCTCCACTACTGGGGATCAAGCCCCAAATCCAGGCATGCGCCCTTTACCAGAATTGAACCCAGGACCCCCCAGTCTGCAGGCCAATGCTCAATCCAGTGAGCCAAGCAGGCTAGGGGAAATATATATATATATTGTTTTTTTAATGAGCATGGACAATGGAGCTGAAGGGTCTGGGATTCAAACCTGGCTCTACCCTCACCTGCTGTGTGACCTTGACAAGGAGCCCTGCAGTTGGCAGCAAAGCTCTCCAGCCCATCGGCTTGGACAAATAAAGAAGTGCAATCACTTGTGTATTGAGGTGTGTGTGGTTATTTAATAGAGACCATCCTATGGCCTCCACTGGAAGCTGAATAAATGCTACTTAAATGTACATGACTTGTCCGCAAAGGAAGGATGATAATGCCACGGTGCAGATGAGGAAACTGAGGCCACAGAGAAGTAATTTGCCCAGTCACACCATGATTAAGAGGCAGGGTCAGAGTTGAACTCAAGTCACCTGATTGCCCTGGCTAAGCATTTTTAACTGAAAGTGCCGCTCAGAGTGATCACAGGGGAACAACCAGTGCAAATGCAAGAATATTTAATAATGAAAGACAGAGTAGCCCATTACTCAGGGATTTCACAAATACAAAAGACACACGGGTGACAGAATCCAAAATTCTGCAGTAACCTAAGGACTTCGGGCTCTGTCACTGCCTAATCCCTAAGGGACCAGGCCTCTCCAGTGGAGAGATGCAGGAGTCACAGATTCATAGAATCTCATAGGAGACACTGAAGGCTCAAACCAGGGCGTGGGAACTGTCATGGAGACTCGGTTCTGGGCTGCTGGTACCCAGAAAAATAGATCCTCGCCCATGGTACGTGGGGTCAGCGTCCCCCGTGGACTCAGGACTCAAGTCTCTTCCTGCCACACAAGGCCCCTGGCAGGTCTTCGGGCAATGCATTCCACAGACATGTCCCTGCTCCCAGGGGACGCGTTGTCCTCTCAGGAAATGTACCCGCACTTCACGGTGCGCTCAGCGCAGGCCATGGAGGTGAGGCCAGCGGCGGCGGCGGCAGAGTCTCCTGAGCGCGGGCGCCCACTGGCTGGAGACCTGCCTGGACCAGAGGGCAGCACAGAGCCCCGACCTAAGCCGCCCGCCTGCGGAGCCGCGGGTCCCGCCTCGCAGTCCGGTCAGAGACAAGGCCCTGAGAGCGCCGCCAGCTTCAGGTCCCACGTGAGCAGGCGCAGGAGGTTGAAGATGATGGTGGCTTCATGGCACCGAGGCGAGTCCTGGAACCCGGGAAGGAAGCGAAGCGGGGCTGAGGCAGCGATTTCCTCATCGAGGGACCCTCGGCTCCTGGCCGCTCCACC